AGGATGCTGACCGTGCTGTGGCCCCGGCGGGATGAACCCTGAACTGGTGCGAAGCAGGAGGGGGGTTTGGGGCGGGGGGGGCTGGGGGGAGATGGGCCTGGGGGGCTGCAGCAGCGCTGGGGTCGGGGGGAGACGTGGAGTTGTTCGAGCTCTTGGGTGCAGCGCCCATCGCACCCCCCGCCCCCGCCACCCCAAACCCCCTCGGCCGCCCCCGGACCTCAACACTAATAACGGATTAAAGGCGGAAAAGCGGGTGCCGGGTGGGGGGGAGAGGGGGAAGGGGGGACCTACATTGCAGCAGTCCATGGCGGAGGGCGGGTGGGCGGCCAGCGGCGGGCGAGGGGCTCCGGCAGGATCTCGCTTCCCCGGCAGCTCTCCCGGCGCAGGTGGCAAGTTGAGCGGAGCCGCTTGCCTACGTAATGCGCTTTCCTCCGGGCGAGCCTATCAGCCCGACACCCCTGCCAGGCTTTTGGGGGGGAAAAGGGGGGGTGTCTTATTTTTTTTTTTTTTTCCTCCCTTTCTCCTCTTTTTTTTTTTTTTTTTTTTTTTTTTTTTTTTCCCTCCTCCAATTTTATTTCGCAGCCTCCAACTCCCTCCTAACACTTAAAGGAGCCGGCAGCTCGCCCCGGAGTTTCGTGGAACACAACATCACATGCGGAGGACGCGAGCCAAGATCTGACGGGGCTCGCCCTCGGCGTGGAGGGGCTTTGGCGTTTTTTTGAGAGAGGGGACAAAGCTGCAGTAAATGGGGGCTACGTGTGCATTTTTTGGGGGGGACACTTGGCCCACAGTGATGCTGGAGGGAGGTTTTGCCCCCCCGGGTTCGTTTGCACAGGGGGAAAATCGTTCTTGACCTACTTAGGACTTGGTCCCAAAGAAGAGTGTGGATGAGGATGGCGAGGATGAAAATGGTGAGGAAGGGTGGGCATGGTGGGACACCACGTCCCAGCGAGCATCCCCTTAAGGCCAGGGGTGATGTGCCCAACTCCAGGCTCCACACAGAGGAGTGGGCTCCACTCTTGGGGTCTAGGGTCCCTTCCCCACTCACAGGAGCATCCAACCCCCCACATTTGGGGTGCTCTCCAGCCAGAGCTGCACCCCCAGCTGCTTTCCCGGCCCTTGGTGCTGCCTGCAGACCCTGCTTCCAGCCTCAGACCATGCCGAGGTGCTGGGACTGGCAGGGTGAGCCGGGGCAGCCCAGGAAAGAGGAGGGACCTCCAGGGCAATGCGGGGGGCTGCAGCCTGCAGCCCCCCCATCGCCCGCCTCGCTCTCCTCTAATCCGGGTTTGGGAGTTGCTAAGCAACTGCATAAGTCGCCCGTGGGCTCGGCGCCGATGCCGCTCCGGCCGGCCCCCAAAACACAGCGTGGCCCCCCCAGACAGGCACCAGCACCCCCGGCCCACCCGCACAGCCCAGCCCCGCCGCTGCTCCCAGGGCGGGTTTGCTCACCCTGGGGTCGTTGTTCTTGGGGGCCTGGTGGCACTGACCTTCCTCTTTGCCATCATCTCATCCCTGTCCCACTGACATCACTGTCACTGTTCCTGCCACTGTCACCACTGCTGCCACTAGCCCTGTCCCCATCCCTGACCTCCTCCTCATCACCTCCATCACCTTCTCCATCCCCACCATTTTGCCTGTCCCCATCTCCATCACCATCCCTGTCATGATCTCCATACCCATTCCTTGTCCCCTTCCCTGTCTCCATCCCCATTCCTGTCCCCTCCCCTGTCCCCATCCCGATTCTTGTCACCAGCTCCATTCTTGTCTCCATCATCATTCTTGTCCCCATCCCCTCATAAATCCCCATCACTGTCCTGATTTCCAGCTTCAACCCCATCATTTCTGTCCCCATCCCTATCCCTTTCCTCATCCCCATCATCACCCTCATCCCTGTCCCTATCCTTAGCCCTGTCCCTTTCCCATCCCATCTCCATCTCTGTCCCCAGGGCCATTCCAGATGGATGCAGGTGGTGGCACCCCTTGTGCCCTGTCACCCCAAGCTCCCCAGGGCACCCAGACATCCCGCTCCCCATCCCACTCCACCCCATTCCATCTCATCCCAGGAACATCCCACCCCTGCCCCCCACCGTGACCCACACTGGGAGGCTGATGGGGGTCACCCCCACCTCGCATCACCCAGGCACACAAATCCCTCTCCAGGACATGCTCCCAAGCATCCCTCAATTCTTCCACCAGCTGTTGGCACCCTACTCTCCCTGCTGGAGACGCTTTTCCACCGCCACCTCTTCCCACCAGCGTGGCTGGGCGTGTGGGGAACAGCTCTGCTCCAGAAAACCCCGCTCCAGCTTCCAGAAGAAGCCTCGGCAGCTCTTCTGGGATCCTTTTCCCTGTTTTTCTTAGACCGTGCAGGTCCTTCGCTGCCTGCTCCGATCAGAGGAGACAGCGTGTTTGGGGGAGCGAAGCGGGAAGGGTTTTCGGGGTGATTCATCCATCAAGGATCTGGGAAGTTAGCCCCAAAATTAGGATTAGTCCCTCAATTAGTCCCCAAAATCCGCTCCAGCCGTGGCCCCCCGGTCCTGGCAGAGCCACCAAGCGCCGCCGTCTCCCGCAGGCTGCGGCTGCGGAGGAGGGACGTGAAATGCCAGAACATTTCTAATCATTAACGGAGGGTTTTGAGCCCATTCCAGGCTCTGCATTTTTCCTCCCCGGGCCCCTTCATCCGGGTGATGCTTTTCCAGGTGCTCCAGCACCTCCAAAATATGAATTTCAGCGAGAACAACTCAGATTTCGGGAGGGGAGGAGGACGGGAAATCGCAGCTGGGCAAGACCTGCCGGGAACATCCCGCCGCTGTGGTTTGAGATGGTTGGCACTGAGGTGCTAAAAAATCCTTTAAAAAAAAAAAAAAAAGGAAAGAATCCTTAAAAACAAAATGGGAATTGGATGCTGGAAAGATGCCCTGGGCGGGCAGCGTTGCCGGCTGCCGAAGCAGGAGCCGGCAGCCGGCGAGGCGGTGCCGGAGTGGGGGTCAAGGCGTAGCTGGTTGGCATCAGCCCCGGCACGGGGTCCCCGCCAGCATTTTTTCCTCATCCCTCCTTCCTGTTTTTCCCAGGGGAGCTGCCATCGTGCCCCGTACCGTGGGCGAGCGCCGCATACGGCCGGAGAAAACAGGAAAGAGGGGGGAAAAACAGGGTGAGCACGGGTGGGGGGCTCAGACCACCCCCAAAAATAGAACACAAACCCCATCACTAATTGTGGGGGGGATTTTGGAACCACTTCAGGTGGGAAAACGTGAAGTTCACCGGTTGGAGTGAGACTAGGGGAGCCCTGCACGCCCCCCAAAATTCCACAGAGGCATCTGAGCTCTTGGAGGTGGGTAGGAGAGGAGCAATGTCACATCGTTTCTTCACGCCGGGATGTTATTAAGTTTCTTCCAACCTCCAGGGATGCAGGGGCCTAAATATAGAGGCTAAAAATATCAACCCGTGCTCAGCTCAGCCCCAAACCCGGGAGTTTTTGGGGAGAAATCTCAGGTGAGCAGCGCTAATAATGGTCAGGACCTCATTAATAAAAGTCCTCATTAAAACAGCGCCGCAGGGGCGGGATGGGAGCACTCAGGAGAAGGGCAGGAGCCAGGGTGGGATCAAGGGTTTTTTTTGGTTTTGGGGTCGGATGGTGGGAAATGGGATATTTGGGGCAAGCACTGGGGTCGTGTCCCTGGAGAGGTGTCCTGGTTCATGAGGGTTATGGGAACGTGCACCCCCTGGGTGTCTCTCTGGGCATTTTGGGGTGGAATCACAGCGTGTCGGTGCCCTGGGTGCTCTCTGCTCCCCCTGGTGCTGCCCCCGTGTCCTTGGCCTCCTTTGGTTCCTGGAAGAAAAGCGGGAAATTTAGGTGGTAGGGGACAAGGGCAGCAGGAACGGGGTGGGACCCAGTGCAGCCCTTGGCACCCGGATTTCTCTGGAGGGGCCTGGAAGGGAGGGTGGCCTTCCTACCTGGGAAGGGGGCCAGGTGAGGCGGTGGTCCTCCAGCAGGGCTCCCCACGCCACCGGGTCAACAGCACCAGCTGGGGAGAGAGGAGGCTTGATGGGCACATGGGCAGGCACAACGACACGGGTGATGGGCACAAATGGAAGGCCTGATGCCACAGGAAGTGGACATTTGGGGCAGGCACAACACCATGGGTGATGGGCACATGGGGCAGGTGTGATGCCGTGGGTGCTGGGCCTCAGGAGAGGCCTGATGATGGGCACGTGGGGCAGGACTGACACTGGTGATGGGCACGTGGGGCAGGACTGACACTGGTGATGGGCACGTGGGGCAGGCCTGATGGCCTGGTGATGGGACGTGGAGCAGGTGTGATGCCACACAGGCTGGGCAGGCAGTGCAGCATGGAGCAGTGTGGGGATGGGTGTTGGGCCGGGCCACTCACCCTCTCTCCGCTCCAGCAGCCTTTGGAAGTGCTGAGCCGCAAAGGCCACCACGTCGCCGGGCTGCTCCCGCAGCACTTCCCGCACCAGCCCCTCCAGCAGGTTCTGGAAGCCGGCGGGCACCCTCACGCTGGTGGTGGAGAAGGGGACGGACATGGCCGCTCTCCTGGACGCCCTGCGGCAGAACAGCCTGGGATTAACCCCAGCCCGCAGCCCCCGGTGCCACCGGGCAGCGCCGGGACTCGAACCCGCGGGCCAAGGGGGTGAGGGGAGGGCTGAGGAAGGGGGGCAGCGCCGCCGCTAGGGGGCGATCCCCTCTGCGCACGCGCAGCGCGCAGGGCACGGGGAGGGTGGGAGGGCGAGCGCGGGGAGGCTCCCGACGTCCCCACGATGTCCCCACGGTGTCCCCACGGTGTCCCCACGGTGTCCCCACAGTGTCCCCAGTGCCCGCCTGGGTCCCTCGAGTCCCCCCGCGCTCCCAGTTTCCTCCCTCGGCCTCTGCTGTCAGACCCGGCCCGGGCCGCGCCGCCGCCTCAGGCCGTGGGTGCGGACGCCGTCGCTTGGCAACCGCAAGCAGGCCACGCCCCCTATGCGATGGTCCCGCCCGCGGGGCGGGGCCACCGGAGGGTCCGGGGCCACCGGAGGGTACCGGGGGGCACCGGCGCCCTCACAGCCCGTCGTGCCCCCGGGATGGCGGCGTGGGCGCTGCTGGCGCTGCTGGCGCTGCTGGCGCTGCTGGCTCAGGCTCCGGCGGCGGCAGGTAAAGGGCTGGGGGGGTTCACCCTCCGCCCCCCTCCCAGCCCCGCGGGCAACCCCTGCAGCGGAACCCCCCCGAACCCCACTTCGGGGCACTTTGGCACCCCAGCGGCCCGGCCTCCATGCCCTTGGCGTTTCCTAACCTCCCCCCCCGGCCAGCTTTGGTGCCCATTGCACACCCCCCGAGCCTCGCTTCGGGGACCTTGGCACCCCCCCAGCCCCGCTTTGACGCCCAGTGCACCCCCAGACCCCCTTCGGTGACTTTGCCGCCACCCCGAGCCCCCCTCTGGTGCCCTCCCAGCCCCTCTTCCATGCCCTTGGCACCCCTGCTTAGCCCAGCTTTGATGCCCTTGCCGGCCCCCCAGCCCCTCTTTGACACCCTTTGCACCCCCAAGCGCTGCTTCAGTGCCCGGTGCACTCCCAGAGCCCCAGTTCGACGCCTTTTGCACCCTCTGGGCCCCACTTTGACACCGTTCACACCGCACCCCTCCCCGGTGCCCTTGGCCCGGAGCTGCCGCCGTGGGACGGTGCTTTACGTAAGGTGGGAGCCACATGCGGCTCCTCGGCCGTGTCTCGTGGGCTTTCCTCCCTTCCCTCCTCCCTTCCCTCCTCCCAGCTGCTTTTTATAGCCTCCACTCACTTCCCTGGCGTCTCAGTTCTAATTTTTTTTTCTTTTTTTTTTCTCCTCCGACTTGTTTTTTATATAACTCGCTCTTCCCGGAGCCTCGTGGCAGGAGGCAGCTGATTCCCGGGGGGCTGAGGAATTCTGTTCCTTGCTTAAACCCCAGCCTGGGACGAGCTGCGGAGGAGATAGGGCTCCATGAGCTCCAGCTGGGATCCCTGCCCCAAATTGCCCCTCAAACATGGGCAACCCATGCCCCCTTTTCAAACATGATTTTCTTTTCACGCCCCAAAAATGGAGCTTTTGGGGCTGCCAGGGCTTAGCCCTCTGCTTCCCTCCCTGCTGAAGGTGTCGTTGCCAGTGCCACATGCCTGGTGTTTCCCATCCCACCCTTGCCAAACTTTTTTCCCAAGGGAAAAATACATCAGAACATATCTATCAGCAAGGCTGGGCTGGCAGAGAGGCTCCCATGCTGTTATTAGAGGAATTTATACCAAAACCTGTGTCCAAATCTATGTAACACAAGATGTAACACACTCTCTGTGCTTTGGGAGATGAATTCTCTCCTGGGGACTTCAAATCCTGTCGCTTCTTCATCTCTGGGGTGATTTTAACCAGCTGTCCAGGAAGCTGTAAATTGAGGGGATTCTCATATAATCTGTGTTTAAGAGGGAATATTTAAGAGGCTGTTGTCCTCTTGGACCTGATGTTTGCCCTGTCTGGTGATTCCAGGGGGGATGCTTGACTTTGCCTCCTACTACGGCGACCACATGGTGCTGCAGAGGGAGCCGGTGGGGGCCGTGGTGTGGGGCCACGGGGAGCTGGGAGCTGTGGTGACTGTGACTCTCTCGGGGGCTGAGGGCCTCGTCATCACGAAGAAAACAGCACAGGTTAAAGGTCAGTCCCGGCCCCTCACCAAGGACTGGGGGCCGTTGGTTGTGGTGGCCGGGGAGCTCGTCCGAGCCCACACCGGAGCGGCCAGTGGGGTCTGTCACCACTCCGGGTTTGTCTCCTGGGGGTGCAGAGGCGATGGTGACTTCTCCACATCATGCTTTCCCCTCTGCAGGAGATCTGGGGGGGTTCAGCCGTCCCTGCCAGCACCAGCCTTTGCTCACTTTGGTTCCCAGCAGCGGATCCCGTGGGTGCCCAGCGGGAGCCGAGCTGCCGCTGGAGTGGGTGGCACCGCACAGGCTGGAGCCGAGCGGCGAGGCTGCCGAGGGGAGAGGGGGATCCAGCTCCTCTCCCCATCAAAAACGTCTCTGGGGAATCTCCAGAGCACTCCTGGCTTCTTTTTCTATCTCTGCCCCCTTGGGATCTCTAAGCCCTGAAGGATATCGCCCGTGCAGGCAGAGACTTCCTGGGGGCTGAGAGGGCTCAGGAGCACCTCAAATCCCAGCTGCTTCCCTGCTTAGAGAGTTGGGGGGCTGCTCATCACCTTTGAGGGGGCAAAACTGCTGCCCAAGGGCACCTCCACAAGCTGGAGAGCCTGGAGATGTCTTATGGGAGAGCAGTGATTCCAGGAGATCTGCAGGATCTGGCCCAAAAATCCATGCTAAGCTCCAGCAGAATATCTTCATGCCTCAATTCGGCACCTCTAAAATTAGCCAGAGACATCTCGGTGTCACACACACCAAGCTGCTCCTGTAGTCCCGGTTCCTCCCAGCAGCTTCTGCTCTGACACACATTTGTTTTCCGGATTTTCTTTTTTAACCCCTAAATTCCTCCAGGAGGAAAGACCCTCTGATGGCAGAGAGCTTCCAAAATCCATTTCCCCAGCCTAGCTTTGTGGTGGGGAAGCTTGTCCATCCCCACTGGTTGTTGGCCACTCATCCAATATCCCTGTGAAGGTCTTGAGATCTTTATAGGGCTGGTAGAAGCTAAGCACCATCCTCTTCCTTCAGGACCTTCTGGGACATGGACAACTGTCCTGGACCCGATGGATCAGGGTGGTCCCTATGCACTGACGGCCGAGCAGGGCTCAGAGAACGTGACACTGCGGGACATCTACTTTGGGGACGTGTGGCTTTGCAGTGGGCAGAGCAACATGGCAATGACAGTCCTGCAGGTAAGGCCCCACAGCATGGATCAGGCAGGATCAGGTAGGGATCAGGCAGGGATCAGGCAGGGAAGCACCTCGCACGCTCCCTCCCCTTCCCCAGGTGGCCAACGCCAGCCAGGAACTCGCCGCCGCCGCTCGCTATCCCTACGTCCGCATCTTTGCCGCGGCGCCCGCCCGCTCCAACGTGGAGCTGGAGGACCTGGAGGGGATTGCCTTGCCATGGTCCATCCCCACGGCTGGTGAGTGCAATGTGCCTCCAAAAGAAAGCCTGGAAACAGCTTTCCCCCCCTTTTTCCCCTTGCAGCCCACTGTTTCTTGAGCAGAAAACCTGGGCCACGGGAATTTCACCTACTTCTCGGCCGTGTGCTGGTTGTTGGGGCGCTCCCTGTACGAGGCTCTGGGGTCCCCTGTCGGGCTGGTGGAGGCGGCCTGGGGGGGAACACCCATCGAGGCCTGGTCCTCCCGCCAGGCTCTGCAGGCGTGTGGGCTCCCGGAGGACACGGGGAGGTGAGAGAAGGTGCTGTGGAAACACCTCTTGCCCTGCACCACACTGCTTTTGGGGAGTATCTGCATCCCTTCCCACCTCACCTCCTCTCCTGCTGTCCCCTCTGTGCGTCGTTTGTCCCCCTCTGGATAAAATCCCCTCCCATGCCCATGCATAGGGCAAATCTGGGTGGGTAGAGGGAGAAGATGAGGCCCCCAGAGCTCCCCTTTGGCACGGTGCTTGCTTTAACCATGCAGGGTTAAGCCCCCCTTGTGCTTTGCAATCCCTTTAAGCTCAGCTCTGTCTTCCAGCACCTCCCCACACTGGCATCTCTCCGGCCCACAAACGCCATCCGTGCTCTGGAACGCCATGATCCACCCGCTGCTCAACATGACCCTGCGGGGCATCGCTTGGTACCAGGGTGAGCCTGTTTGCATCCCCCCGAGGTGGAGCAGCCCCTGCTATCCCACGGGGCTCTCACCAACCCTTCTCTCACCTGTGGGACAGGTGAGGCCAACGCCTTCCTGCACACGGACCGGTACAACTGCACCTTCCCCGCGCTCATCGCCGACTGGCGCCGCGCTTTCCACGCTGGATCAGCCGGACAGACGGAGCCACTCCTCCCCTTCGGCTTCGTGCAGGTTGGGGGTGTGAGAGGCAGGACCCCCATGGGGTTGCCCAGGAAGGTTTTACCCACCCTTTCTCCCACTGGAGGCCACATCCAAGCTGGCAGCAGGGAGAGGATGCTGTAAACACACGGGCAGGTCCTGCTGGGTGCTGAATCCTGGGCAGGGGCCAGAGTGGCCATTTTTGGGAGTGATGGCTAAGCCACTCCCCCGTTCTTCCCCTGCCTTGCAGCTGTCCACCTACCGCCGTGAGAGCCCCGACGACAGCTTTGCCCGGCTCCGCTGGCACCAAACAGCCGACCTGGGGGTTGTTCCCAATGCCAGGATGCCCGGCACCTTCATGGCCGTAGCCATGGATCTGGGCGATGAGCACTCTCCCTACGGCAGGCGAGTCCCGGGCCGGGGTGAGGGTGTAGGGATGAAGCTTTTGGGTACCAACCCCATCTCCTTGCTCTTCCTTGGCAGCATCCACCCTCGGGACAAGCAGAACGTGGCACACCGGCTGCTGCTGGGCGCCAGGGCTGTGGCGTACGGGGACAAAGACCTGGTTTTCCAGGGGCCGTATCCCACCCGGGCCGTCCTGGAGGTGACCAGGGGGCTGCTGAACGTCACCTACAGCCAGGAGCTCATCTGCCGTCAGAGGGACGCACGGTCATTCGAGGTGAGGGGTAGGAAATCCTCCCCGAGGGGCTGGGAGAGGGGAAGGCCACGCTGATGAGGGTTTCTCCCCTCCCCAGGTGTGCTGCTCCAGCCAGGCGTCCCCGTGCCGGTGGCTGCCGGCACCGGTGGTGGCCGTGGGGTCCCGCACGGTGACACTGGCCCTGGGTGGCTGTGGGACGCTGGTGCTGGGCCTGCGCTACGCCTGGGCCGAGTGGCCCTGTGAGTACCAGTCCTGCCCCCTCTACAACCCCCAGGGGCTGCCTGCACCCCCCTTCCTGCTGGACACCCTCCCCACAGGCAGCACCGACGGAGGGAGGGAGCTGCTTCTCCTCCCTGGCTCTGGGTTCTCCTGAGGGATTTAGGGGAGAGGAGGGAGCTCAGGCTTCTGGGTCCCCTTCCAATCCTGGGAGGCAATGGGCTCCATTACTGTCCTACTAATTAAACAACTTTCCAGCTCCTCTTTGGCTTCAAGCCAAGGCTGCAGGGGGAAAAAAAAAAGCCAATTTACAATTAAATTTATGAAAAATTACTTTAAGAGAAGCAGTAGGACACACTGATGGGAGCCAAACCCCTCACTGCTTCTCCCTCTGCCCATGGAGCTGGTCCTGGCTCCCCAGGACACCCCATTTCTCAGGGCATGGACTGCTCACCCCCACAGTAGGGTGCTTGTGGGATCCAGGGATCAGCTTCCAGCTGCAGGGTAGAGCGGGGAGAGAGAGGAGCTCTGCCAAAAACCCACAGCCAAAGACTAAGGCTGGGCTAGGAGAGGGAGCTGTGAAGGGTGTGAGTGCCTTCCACCTCCCTCTGTTAATAAACAATAAATAGTAAATAGTTAATAAACCAGCTTATTTTATTCCTGGATCCTTTTTTCCTTCAGAGGAGTACCCTTTATTCCTCCATCCTCCCCCTCCTGCTGTAACAGCAGGGAAATTTGTGTGGAAGAGGCACATTGTGGCACCCAGTGCTTGGAATAAGAGAACCCAAGAGGTTCTGTACAAAACATTGACTGTTTAACCCTCTTTTTCTGGAAAAACATACATAAGAAGGGAAAGCCCAGTTGCAGGAAAAGCAGGTGGGCTCAGCCCAGCTGCCACATCACAGCTGTGTTAGAACCAGGGTAATGCACTCAAGCGATGCTGGAAAGAAGGATGTGGATCAAAGTGGATCCTGGGATCGCAGGATCCCTGCCTGCTCCTGGATCAGGCAGAGCCGAGTGAGTCCCGGGAGGGTTTTCCCATCGTTTCCACTCCAGGCTTCGGTCCTAGACAGGGCAGGAAGAGCAGGCAGTTATTTAACAGGGCGATGGCACACTGGGAGCTGGGCTTTCTCCAGCAGCGTGCGACTGGCCCATGAGCCAGGTGTGCTGGCCCCGCGGTTGCCATGGCAATGGGGATGTGAAATCCAGCTCAGTCTGGGTGGTTTTTTTAAACCACAGCTCAGACTGTGTGTTCAGGGCCAGGAACGGAGTCCAGGCCTCCCAGCTCCTGCCTGCAGGGATGGGCTGCCTTACACAGCCTGGAAACCACTGCCATGGGCACTGGGGATCCCTGTGAGATCCCAAAGGAGGCACCCACCTCCCCGAAACCCAAAGCACATGGGAGAGGGAGCAGTGCAAGCCCCAGGGATGTGGCTCTCCCTTGGAGCCTGGCTCCCTCTCTGCACACAGCCCCACTGTGCCCACCAGTGCCATGCAAACGGGAGAAGGGAGCAGGCACGGCATCCTTGGTATCAGCCCCCCAGGATTTAAAGCTCCCAATCCCACTCCAGCAGGCTGAGCTGCCAAAAACAGGGACCCTCGTGGTCCTGCAGTTTGCCCAGAGCTTGGATTTAAGTGGCAAGCTCTCTGCTTGCTGTTCCTATAGCAACTCTTGCCCACGCCTGGGATTGCAGTAGCGTTACATCCCAGCTGCCAGAACCCTCTCCCAGAGCTGTCAGCCCTCACGGTGACCCCCCCCAACTACCCCCCAAACACCTCAATGTCTTGGCAAAGGGTTTAAGGCAGCGGTGGACGGATCCAGCCCCATTCCCGAGGTGGGATCTGGCAGTGTGGGAAGCAAGAGGAAGAGGGAAGTTGTCTCTACCCAAAGAGCCTACCTAGGGCCGTGCCATTGGAGAGAGCTGTGCCACCCTCAGCCTCAGGGGTGCAAGCGTGGTGCTTGGGCTTGGTGGTCTCCAGCCCGGCCAGCAGCGTCATGAAATCGATGACGGTGTCGATGTCCTCCTTGTTGGCCGTGGTTTCCCTCAGGGCGCTGACGGCGTTGAGGCGGCCGAAGGAGGTTAGCTCGGAGATGTTGGCGCGGAGGAAGAGGAGGATGACGTTGAGGTCGTTGAGGGGGCAGGTAAGCATCCTGCGGCTGAGCAGGTCGAAGGCAGGCAGCATCTCGTAGACGGAGAGCAGCCCCTTGTCCCACTGGCAGAGCTGCAGGGCGTTGTAGATGACGACGGGGATAAGGAGGATGTAGACGCTGCCGACTGAGAGGCTGATGAGCTGGAAGATGGAGAAGAAGACCAACTTGCAGGGGATGAGTGGGGGGATGTGGGGCTCTGCCTGGAGCAGCCCTGTTTTGATGGAGCAGCTGAACTCATCCTGGAAGAAGATGTTGAGGTGGAGGAAAACCAGGTAGAGGCAGGTGGCAGCCAGGAACAGGAGCAGCAGCAGGTTCCTTAGGATGTAGATGAACGTCAGGGCGTGGGCGTGCTGCTTGCAGGTCAGGTACCGCTCCAGCAATGGGAACTCAAAATACCTCTCCCGGCGGGCCCTGGAGGCAGAGGGACACAGTGGGAGTGAGAGCCACCCCCCAAACCTCACTGCTTCACCCAAGTCCATCCTGGAACAGCCACAGCCACAACACCCCGAGGAGGGACTCCAAGGGCCGCGGTGACCCAGCAGGGCCTCACCTCTCGTACTCCTCCCAGAATTGCTCTGGCTCGGCACTGGCCTGCTGGACCTTCCTCATGTGCTGCACCAGGCGCACCGAGCGGTTGTAGGATTTATCCAGCTCGTCGATGATGAAGAGCAGGTCGGAGTGCAGGGCGGGGGCGGCGGCGTAACGCCACAGCAGGTACGGCAGGTACATCAGCACCGCCACCACCAGCAGCGAGTAGGGGAAGACCTGGGCAAAGGGGACGGGAGGGCGTTGAGGGTGTGGAGTGTGCACCCAGGTGGCATTTGGGGGCACCCAGACGTGACTTTGACCCTACCTTGAGAGCCCAGAGGGACTTGGTGACAGCGTGTCCCTCGGCGTCGAAGCCGTGGTGGATGAGGGAGTCCCAGCAAGCCGTGTCGGCGTAGGCAGACTGCTTCCCCGTGAAGTTGGTGGGAGAGAAGCAGCTGATCTGGGAGCCTGGGGTGAGGAGGAGGAGGAGGAGGAGAGTGAACCTCAGCCATGGAGGGTGGAGGAGCATTCCTCAGCCAGGAGGGTGATTACATCTAAGGCATCGCTTTGAATTAAAAAAAGCCTTTTTCATGGTCATTTTGGAGCTGCTTTTCCTCACTGCTGTGTTCCCGGCAAGGACTTTTCCATCTCTTCCCAAACACAAACCCTTTGTGCACACTGGTGTGTACACAGTGCCGGGAATTAGAGACCAGCCAGACTGGAGTAAAACCAAATCCCCAGGGGAAGCAGCAGAATGTTGGCCGAGGCCAGATTTAGCCATGACACACCATCAATGCATCCCTCTGTGCTGCTGGCACCCTCCTAAACAACCCCACGGCACCCGAAGGTGCTGGGCACGAGCAGCTGAGGCTGGGCATCGATTCAGCGCTGCTCCTGGGGCGCATGAACAGCCTAGCACGGCTGTTCCCGGGCTTTCCCAGTGAACAGTGATCCATTAAAAACAATCAATAAACACCCATGACGCAGAACAGCTCCTAAAACAGGACTTCCAGTCTGCTCTGCCTTGGATCACGACATCAGCACGAACACGAAGGGTTTGCCGTGACAACCAAACCCCTGCCAGCGATTGCCCTCAGCCCAAAGATCCCTTTGGAAAAGCTGCGACTCACCGGCAGAGAACTCCCGGGCAAAAGCCAGCGAGACAAGGCAGAGGGGCAGCCCCACAGTGACAAACTTCAGCAGGCGATCGCTTGGCAGCTCCAGCCGCAGGCCCTTGGCTCGGGAACTGCCGGGATCCGGGAGCAGAGCGTCGGAGAGCATGTACTCGGCAGCCGTGTGCGAGAGGGACATTTTGAAGCGAGGAAGAGGAGTCGCTGGCAAGTGCTGCTGGTGCTCGGCAGCTCTGGTGTCACCTGAGGTGTGACCGGCTCAGGAGGGAGTTGGCCGAGCTGAGGAGTCCCTGCCGAGCGCTGCGTCCGATGGCTGCAAAGGACACCTCAGACAGGGCGTTAAATCGCCCTGTAATTACAGGGGAAGCCTTTTCACAAATAGAAATAGAAAATCCCACCCCAGCAGCCACGGCAGCGGGCCGGGGAGGCAGAGTTCCTCCTCGACAGCATTCCTCCCCGGCAGGGTTCCCGCCCGGCTGTGGCCGTTCCCGGCTCCCCGCGGTTTTACACCACTCTCTCATCAGCCGAGGGATTTCTGGCGCCGTGGCCCGAGGGCACAGGGGTGCCTGGCTATTTTCAGTGGGAAGGCAGGGGACAGGGCACTCCCCCAGGGAGAAGCCCCAGATACACAGAGGCCCCGTGGGGTACAAAGAATCCTTTCCAGCACCCAAACCAGCTAGAGGGAACCTGCTGCCCCGCCTTAAGGTCCTGGCACAGGCCAGGAGTCAAAAAACAAGGCAATTTTGAGGCAGAACATCAGCTGCAATTCCCCAGATTGTCAATCCCTCCTCTCGCCTCCCTCTCGAGGCACAGGGGGAGGAATCTGGCTCCAAGAAAAGCTTCCAAGGGCAAGAGATCCCAATAAGAGGATCTAGAAACAAGGGATGGGGTAACTGGAAGGGGCGGTGGGACGGAGCAGTTTCTCCCAGGAGCACAGTCAGTGCCCAGAAATCCATGCTAACACTGCTGGCAGCACAGAGCAGGGCCAGTCCTGGAGCTGCTCAGCCCAGCCAAGCCAAGGAACTCCCCGTGCAGTCTCTCAGCATAGTGAAAAAACTCCACAGCCACTGCCAAATCACACTTTCGATGGATTTTCCAGTGAAGGGACTTTCCAAATCTGAGCTAAACAGCTCTAAAGGGAAAACTGATGGCTCCAATTCAGGAGGGGCTGCACCCAGGTGTGCTCAAACCTGCCCAGGGACTGAGTCCCACCCGGCCTGAGCACAGAGACACACAACACCTTCCCTTGAGGGAACCGGAGCTTTTATTGCTCGGAGACAAGTCCAAAACATGGATCAGGCAGAGCCCAACGTCCATCCAGCCTCGTTTGTCTAAACTAGAGGCTCTTCAGTGTGCCCAGCTGCTTTCCTGTGCCAGAAGCACACGCAGGCACCTGCTCTGAATCCAGCAACACCAGCCTACCGACTGTAGGCTTCACCCCACCGCTGGCTCCAAGGCGGGCACAGCCACTGCCACGTGCTGGACGTGAGGAGATAACTGGCCCCACTCCTCATCAGTCCTTAGCAATGTCCAGCTCCAGCTTCTTCAGCGTTTTTTGGAAGAAGCGGGGTGGTTTGCAGACGAGGTCTATGGGCTGGCCCAAGGGCAAGCAGAGCCGGTGGGCGTGCAGGTGCAGGGGCAGGTGCCGAGCCTTGCTCTGCTGCAGCTTCAGCCTCCTCAAGGTGAGCACAGGAAGCTTCTGCAGTAAGGATGAAAACGTCCCTTCAAAACCCCAGCTCTTCAGCTGGGACATGAAATCCCCGGCCCACAGGGAGCTGGGGGACACAAGGGGCTGCATCCAGTGCAAGATCTGCCCTACCTGGGGTGCCAGCTTGCTCCAATGTGAGTATTTGTGATCCCCCAGGATGGGGCACCCCAACCCATAGGCCAAGTGAACACGGATCTGGTGCTTCACCCCTGAGGAGAAAACAGAAAGAGGAGAAAAGTGACATCCAGCCGTGCCAGGCCTCACCTCCCACCCACCATCCTCAGTGCTGGACAAGGCTATGCCAAAATTGCCGGCAGCCAGAGAACAGCTCAGCAGCAAACCATCGCCCCAGTGGGGCTTATTCCCAGAGCCTTGTCCCAGAAAGGATTCCAGTCATGTCTAACGATGAGCTGCCACTTCCCAGTGCTGCTCCTGGCCCCCTCACCGGTGATGGGCTGGAGCTCCAGCAGCGAGCAGGCGGAGGCGCCGGCCAGCCGGCGGTACCGCGTCACCGCGCTCTCGGCGCTCCGGTTCCTGCGGATTTTCACCACCTTCCCATCCTCCGGACACAGGCGGTAGTTGGGAGCCAGCGTCATCTGAAGGGCAGGGAGAGGGTGAGCCAGGGGAGGCAGGAGGGAGTGCCAGGGGTACCAGGCTGGAATGGGCTCACCTTGTAGTGCGACTGGTGGCTTTGCACCTCCTTCTCCACGATGGGGATCTCCACGATGCCCTCAGCAGGGTCTGGGTCCCCCAGGACAATTGCCCTGGGCAGGGAAAGCACAAGTCTGTGGGGTGTCACTCCTGCAGGAAAGGAGCCCTCCCCTCAGCCCTCTCCCACCACGCAGCCCTATAAAACGCTGCTGCCCCCACATCCTGAGGACTGTCCCCTCGTCCCTTCCTCAAACCCCCTTTGCAGCCCCTTCTCCACCCAAATCCTTCCTACCAGTAGATCTTCTCCACCTGACGGGTTTTGAAGAGCAGCCGGACCTTGTCCGCTGTCTCCCTGTTCCGTGCCAGCACCATGACACCCGTGGTCTCCTTGTCCAGCCGGTGGCAGAGGTGGAGGGGCTCAGCTCTCATGTTCTCCAGCATCTTGGCCAAAATGGGCAGCACGTCAGCGATGCAGTTCTTGATGCCGGGGCCGCCTGTGTGACCCACAGCAGGGCAGTGAGGGGAGTGGTCACCTCCCCATGCACCCTAAACCACCCCCAAGGTATCCTGGGGAGGGGAAGGCTGAGATCTGACAGTGATCAACCCCCAGGAACCCTCCCTGGGAAGAGAAACCCCAGCACAGGGAGGACAGAGACAGAGGATCCTATCAGCACCACGGAGCCATTTCCACTCTCCCCTCTCCCTCACCATGCACAGGGAGCCCGTAGGGTTTGTTGATCACCACGATCTCCTCGTTCTGGTACACGGTTTCCTGCTTGAGGATCTTGGCCAGGACGTTGGGGTGAACCCGCTGCAGCTGCTGGCTCAGCGCGGTGAGTTCCCGGAGCTGTCGCTGTGCTGGATCCTTGGGGATCTGAGGAGAGAACAAGACACTCAGCAGGGGATAAACAGCTCTTGGCTTTCACACAGAGCTCCAGTGGGACCTCTAGCAACTCACTCGCCTTCTGTGTGCGCCTGTGTCATGCCTGAGGGACAGGGTGGCATCCAGAGGGATCTGGATGAGCTCGAGCAGTGGCCCATGGGAACCTCATGAGGTTCAACAAACCCAAGTGCTGGTGCTGCTCCTGGGTTGGGGCAACTCCTGGGATCCATCCAGGCTGCGATGAAGGGATGGAGAGCAGCTCTGGGGGGAACGACTTGGGAGTGCTGGTGGGTGAGGCTGGACTGTCCATGTGCCCTGGGCTGATCCCACAGCATGGGCAGCAGGGCAGGGGGGGATTTTGCCCCTCTATCCCCTCAGGTGAGATCCCATCTGCAGAGCTGCCTCCAGCCCTGGGATCACAGCACAGGAATAACGTGGAGCTGCTGGAGTGAGTCCAGAGGAGGCCACAGAGATGCTCCAAGGGCTGGAGCCCCTCTGCTCTCGAGCCAGGGTGGGAGAGCTGGGAGGGTTCACCTGGAAAACGGGAGAGTCCAGGGAGAACTGAGAGCCCCTTCCAGTGCCTAAAGGGGCTCCAGGAGAGCTGGAGAGGGACTTTGGACAAGGGCCTCGAGGGACAGGACAAGGGGGAATGGCTTCCCACTGCCCGAGGGCAGGGTTAGATGGGATATTGGGAAGGAATTCCTGGCTGTAAGGGTGGGGAGGCCCTGGCACAGGTTGTCCAGAGAAGCTGTGGCTGCCCCATCCCTGGAAGTGTCCAAGGCCAGGCTAGACAGGCTTGGAACAACCTGGTGTAGCGGAAGGTGTCCCTGCCCACGGCAGGCGGTGGGATGAGATGGCCTTTAAGGTCCTTTCCCCCGCTCCATCCCGGGACGCACCGCCCGAGCCCGCTCCCGGGACGGCCCGCGCGGGGCACGCCGGGAGTTGTAGTCCAGCCCCTAAGGCCCAGCCGGCCGCTCCCCGCTCACCTCTCGCCGCTGCCCCGCGCTGCTCCTCAGCCGCTCCGCCAGCTCCTCCGCTCGCAGCCCTTCGGCCTCCCGCACGCTCCCGCTGAGGCCGCGCACCGTCCGGGTCAGCCCCGCACCGCCCCGCCGCCAACACTGCCGCGCCGCTCCGCCCGCCGCCGCCATCTTCCTGCCCGCTTCCCCGCGTGCCCCCGCCGGCCAATGGCGGCGGCGCCTTGGAGGGCCTGTCCAATGGGGAGGGGCAGTGAGCTGAGTGACAGCCGCGCCGCCCAATGGCAGCGGGGCGGGGGTGTTTAAATGGCGACAGCGGTTGCGGCCCGTAACGGAGCGGCGGGAGCGGCGCGGCCGGGCCGGAGGTACCGGGGGCGACAGGGGTGGGGGGCCAGCCCGGTGTAACCCAAAATAACCCAGTGTAACCTCAGCAAGCCTCACTTTGCTGCCCCGCTGCGAGTTGACGGTGCTGCGCCTCCCTCCTTCCCTCCCAGGGTAGGACACAGCACTGCTACAAGAGATTTCTTGAGATTTATAAAAAACCAGCACCGAAGAAACGCGCTTTTTTTCCCCAATAACACTAATAAAAAGAAGTGCCGAGGCGCCCCGTCACTCGGTGTCCACGCAGACCCTCTTGGGCGGCTGCTCGGGGGCTGCGCTGCTGCCCCGCTTGCCCTCGGGGGGCTCCTGGTCCCCGGGCACCCCCGGCCCCCGGGGGGGGTCGATGCGGCCCCTCCGCACGAAGTGCTCGATCCGAGCCTCCAGCCCCTCGCACCGGGGCCGGGCCAGCAAGGGCTTGTAGGTGCGGGCTTGGACCCCCTCCACGAAGCTGCTGACCAGGCTGCTCCCCGGACCTGTGACATCATGGAAGAAATACGTTTAATTACCCCGTTCTTTCATATTTATTTTTTTTTAACCAGTTACCCCTCTAGTTCACAGAATTATATACGTAGCCTTAAGCTGCGCCAGGGAAGGTTTAGGCTGGACTTTATGAAGAATTTCTTCACAAAAAGGGTGATTAGATGTTGGAATGGACTGCCCAGGGAGATGGTGGAGCGACTGGCCCTGGAGATACTCAAGGAAAGACTGGATGTGGCACTCAGTGCCGTGGTCCAGTTGACATGGTGGTGATCGGGCACAGGTTGGACTTGATTTCAGGTCTTTTCCAACCTAATTGAGTCTGTGAATCCCAGAATGGTTTGGGTTGGAAGGAACCTTAAAGACCATCTTGTTCTGCCCCCTGCCATGGGCAGGGACACCTCCCACTAGCCCAGGTTGCTCCAAGCCCTGTCCAACCTGGCCTTGGACACTTCCAGGGATCCAGGGGCAGCCACAGCTTCTCTGGGCAACCTGTGCCAGGGCCTCCCCACCCTCACAGGGAAGGATTTCTTCCCAATATCCAATCTAACCCTGCCCGCTGGCAGTGTGGATTCCAAGGTGTTCCCCCAAACTCCCCCCTTACCTTTGCCAGTGGCCATGGGAGCAGTGTCCAGCCCTGCCAACATGTCCCGAAGCACGTGGGTTTTGACGGCGTGGCTGGCCCAGAGCTGCTGCAGGTGTGTCACGTTGAAGCCCTGCACCTCTGGGTCGTAGAGCCACTGCAGGTCTGGGAACTCGCAGTCGTACAGGACCAGGGGGAACTCGACTGCCATGCTGGGGACAAGGACAGGAGGTGGGCCCACAAAAAGGCTCAAGAACAGTGGATCTGCCACAGCCAGCTCTACCCTTCACAGAACTCCCTTTCCCAATAAAAGCTGACTTAATTTTCACCAAATACCAAGGAGTAAAGCCATTAAAGCTTTGTCTGAGAGCAAGACAACACAGGTCCTTATGGACACATCCCAGGCTGGCAGCCTACTTCCATGCTGGGAGACTGCTCCATGTGCTGGCAGGGACGTGGCTCGCCAGCAGCACTCCAGGTGCAGCCATTGCTCCATCTGGTTTTCCAGAGCAATCCCTACCTGTACTGCGGTTTCCGGGGGTTCTTCTCCACGTCCAGCAGTTCGTCGATGATGTCCGGGCTCTCCATGCCCTGGCCGATGAGGAAGAGCACGGCCATCATGCAGCGGACCTGGTGGTACAGGAACGCCTGCCCCGTCACCTCGAACTGGCACAGCCGGAAGGGATCCCGCGGCCCGGATTCTCCCCCTCTCTCCACCCACGTCACGCGGGCGCTGAGGATCGTCCTCTGGAAGTTGAGCACCCCGTTGGCCACGTCCATCTTGCAGAGGTTGCGGAAGTCGTGGGTGCCCACGTAGCGCTGGGCGGCGCTGTCCATGAGGGCCACGTCCAGCTGGGCGCAGGGGAAGAAGTACCGGTAGGTGCGGCGCTGGCAGCTGAAGCGGGCGCTGAACTCCGGCGCCACGGGGGCCCAGGCCAGCACCCGGATGTCGGGGGGCAGCACCCTGTTCAGGATGTGGGTGTAGCGGAGCTCCTCCCGCTGCCCCTCGCCCGCGTGCCCGTTTTGCTGCTGCCCCTCCGGTGGCAGGCTGGAGCGGAGATCCAGGGAAATCACCTGCAGAGACGAGTAAAAGCCAGGATTAGAGCGCGGATGGATGGGCGCAGCGGCGTGTGGAGCCAAGTCTTCCTACACCTCTGGGAAATAAACCCAGGATCTCCTACAGATGAAGGTGGCTTCAGTCGGGTGATCCTACCATGGAGCTGCGAGTGCCTCTGCTGAGGAGCCGAGCAGATGCCACAGATTCCATTAATAAAACAGGCAAATTTGCAGGCTGCCTACGTAGCACGGTCTCAGAACAGCTTCAACTTTAGTCACTGGGTTTGGGTTATAATGTGCTTTTTTTTTTTTTTTTTTTTTTTTGAGCTGGAGGTGATGACTTGAAGGCAGTAACAGCCTGGCTCGCTTGGAAACCTGGTGTGGGAACACGTTCACTCCCAGCGCGGGCACCATGTGCTGAAACAGCACAAGAGGAGGCACCAAGTGCCCTGATTTCGTGCAGCTCATCCTGCCATGGAGAGCAGAGCAGCCACTCGAGGCCAAACCTATGCCAGCTCTGCTTCCTGCACCAGGAGGGAAGGAAGGAGAGCAGCCCAATGGTGAAGCCACCACGGCTGTGTTCTCCCCAATGGCTCAGCCAGCCGGGTGGCTCCGTGCCCACCAAGCAGGCCAGCTCCATCCCCTCCCTCCAGCTCCCACTCCCACGCTCCCTTCCGCTGGCTGCAGCTCCTCTCAGACCCTTCTGTGCAGGAATTCAGCTGCCTGATGCTGCAGGAAGGGAGCCAATTTCTGGGGTTTTTGGATTTTGGTGGGATTGGAGAGTTAAATCAGCTGAGAGGGCCCTGCCAAGGACAGGGCATCGCCCCTTTTTGGGCAGCACTGAGCTACTGGAGAAGCTGCAGCCTAAACCAGGTTTTATCCTCCTAAAGCAGGGCCCCGGAAAAGAACTTGAACTAATATGGGGGACAAAACAGCACTAAAACACTTCAGGGGTCTGAAATAGTCTTTCCACATGCAGGAAAGCCATTGCCAGGCTCACTTCCAGGGGTAAGAGCTGATGGCTTTTAAAGAACAAATCCAAGCTGTGCTGTGGGACAGCAATCCCACTGGATCTCCATCCCACCCGGGAAAACCCACAGGAGATGCTGACCTGCCCAAAGGCACTGACTCCCTTGTCCGTGCGCCCGCAGCGATGGTAGTTGGAGGTCTCTCTACTGTCCACCAGCCGTGTCTTCTTCAAGGCTTCAAAGAGCTTCTCCTCAATGGTGTTGGGGGTGTTCTCCTGGCTGGCAAAGCCCTGGTAGCCCCAGCCCAGGTAGGCGATGCGCAGTGCCACGTGTCTGCGGCCGTGCGCGCTGAAATCGAAGGGCCTTTGCTGGCGTTTTTTGGCTTTCCCGGGGGCCAGAGCAGCCTCTCTCCTCCCAGTGCCCTCCTTGTCATCCTGGAGCTTCTCCTGCAGCCGCTTCACCTCCGCTTCCAGCTCCTGCACCCTCCTCAGGAGCCCCTCGTGGTCAGCAGCCGTGCTCTCCTCGGCCATAGCCACTGCCCTGGAGCATCAGTTTGTTGCTGGTGGATCCTTGGGGTCTGCAGGGAAAGAAAAAAATGGTGGATTTACATTTTTATGTGGTTTTTATTGCACTTCTAGGCTGGCTCTGCAAAATAACCTTTATCCACGGAGTCGGTTTTTATCATCTGAGCCCCACCGTGTTCCCAGCAGAGCATGGGCAGGGCCACGGGGGCTCAGCTCGAGCAGCCTTCATCTCACTCCAGTCTCTTTTTTTGGAGTCTTTAATCACTCCTCTTCCCCCAGCCGATGGGATCCGCTCCGTCAGCGCAGCACGTTCCCGGCGAGCCGTCACGGAGCCTTCTCACTTTCCCACCTGCATCCCGCTGCAGACAGCGCGCTGACGGCTGCCACTCATCCCGCCCCGCCATCTGCTCCCGCCCTTCCCAGCGCCACCAGGGGCTCCTGCAGCTCTTCCAACCCGCCTAAAGATATCCTAAGCCTGTGCTGGGAGTGGGATCTGTGTCCGGATCCCTTTTTGTCACAGGGCTAGAGGTTTACTCGAGGTTTACTATCACCAGACTCATAAGCAAGCATCTAAACATGCTGTGCTGAGCCTCCTCCTCCTCTGCAGAAGTAGAACACCCTCTCTGATGTCCCTGGATTAAATCATGACTAAATAGTGTGGATTTAGAAGAACAGGTACAAGCAGAAAACCATTAATCTCTCACCCAGTGCACGGAACTTGCCCTGTGTTTGCAAAGCAGGACTTAACTGACCACATAACTAATTCTAATGGAGTTTTCCAGCAGGAATTAAGGGCTTGTGTTTCTGCTACTGTAGGGAAGAGCCTTCTGCTGGTGGCAGGAGGTTCAGCAGTGCTCTGAAAACATGCCCAACCTAAATCAACACCCCTGAACCCAAACATTTGAGTCTCGGAGCCCCCTTTGACACCTTTAGCCAGCTTGAACATGCTGCAAGACATTAACCCTGGTTTCTTTTTCTGCAGAGTCCACCCGGTGTGGTGAGAATCATGGAGGGGACATCGGGCGCCTGGCCGGGAGGCAGCGAGGAGCTGGCGCGTCCCCGTGACGACCCCTACGCCGATGCCTCCATCGTTTTTGGGGCACAGTCAGACCTTCCAGTGCTTTCTGAGGATCAGAGGGAAAACAGGAAGTTGGTGATGAAGAGGAAGGTGCTGAGGCACAGACCCGATGGAATGGTGGAGATCTTTGATGAGTCAGTGAACAATGAGCCAGGGTGCAGTGCCGAGCCCAAGTGCGGTGCCGAGCTGTGGAATACGGGGCGTTCCAGGGTTTATATGGAGGACACCATCTCCGAGGGGGAAATCAGCAGCGAGGACCTGGAGGAGTGCATGCCCTGTGATGATGAGTGGTTCCTTGAGGACAGCCCCTGCTCTCTCCTTGAGGATCTTGGGAGACGGAGCACGTCTCGGCACTCCGCTCGGGTGGGATCGCCTACGTCCTACATTCTTCCGCAGGTTGGCAGACGGAAGAAAACCGACCCAGTGGCCAAATTCCACGGATACAGACAAGACTGGGAGAGATACAGCTTCCCGGGGGAAGATCCACACGATGATCTGCGCTGGGCCGTGCGGAGGCAGATGGCTCAGCCGGGAGAGCCGCGCCGGGCACCCAAGCGCCTCGTGCCCAACACGTACGTGGTGCCCACGACCAAGCAGCGCGATGCCCTGCGCTTCGGCGTGCGCCGGGACCTGGCCCAGTGCCTCATGCCCCGCAAGGACGCCTCCTAGAGCCACAGCCCCCTCTCCAGCACCACCGCTTTCCCCTCCTCAACATCCTCCATCACCTGGAAAATCCCCTCGCTGCGTTCCAGTTCTGCTGTGGAGGAGGTTTGATTTGCGATGTCTCGGCAGCGTCTTTTCCTTTAATAAAGCATCTGCAAACACTCCTTATCGTTCTGTGGGTTTGTTAGAAACTCCACAGGCAGCATCTGTTATTCCAGACTTATCCCTGCTCCACCAAACTCTGCTCCCTTGGCCTTATTTTACCTCATTTTTAAAATAAGGGAGCTTTGGGATGGAAGTAAGGTAGTATTAGTGTTATTACTATTATTAGCGTTAATTTTTTTCCCAGGTATAGGGGTGGACTGAAAACATGGCAGTTCTGGCGCAGGAAAAAGTCCCCAAAAGCTGAATGGGATGGCTGGAAAAGGGAGCGGGGAGGACAGGACACAGGTGACAGCTGCAGCCTGGAGCTCTCTGTCCAGCTCCCACCAAACCTCCTCTGAATGTGATCCCAGATGGGAAACACACAGGCCTGTGTGGTTACCCCACACTGGGGGTGTTCTGGCACCCCAGGGACCTTCCAGGGTTGGGGGCCCTGGCTTTCCAGCACCCTGTGGACCCCCATCCACCTATGAAGGGAGTTTTGTCTCCCAGAACCTTAGAGACTTCCCTCCAAACCCTATGGGGGACAGCACCCTCACCCTACAGGGTCCCTGCTCTTTCAGCACCCCAAGGACCGCCCCATAAAACCCTATGGGGTCTCTGTCTGCAGCAGGGGACCCTCCCTGCTCCATGGTTCCTGTGCTCAAAACCCCAGGGACTCCCCAAAACCCTATGGGGTCCCTGCATCTCCATCACCCTGGGGATACCCCTCCCCTTCTGGTGTCCCTGTCTCCAGCACCCAGTGCAGGGGTCCCTGTCCCCAACACCCCAGAGAACCCCCCAAAACCCTATGGGATCACTGCATCTCCATCACCCTGGGGCACCCCTCACCTCCTGACCATAGGATCATAGGCTGCTGACCCCTACTTTATGGGGGGGCTCCCTGTCCTCCAACACCCCAGGAAGCCCCCAAAACCTATGGGGTCCCTGCATCTCTATCTACCTGGGGACAGCCCTCCCCCCTTGGTGTCCCTGTTCCCAGCATTTGGGGAGGGAGTGTGTCCCTGTCCCCAACACCTCAGGGACCCCCCAAAAACCTATGGGGTCCCTGTCTGCAGCAGGGGACCTTCCCTGCACCATCATCCCTGTTCCCAACTCTTCAGGGACTCCCACTATCCTATGGGACGCTCTGTCCCCAGGGATCCCCCAAAACAAAATGGGGACCAGGGTTGGCACCCTATGGGGTCCCTATCTGCAACAGGGGACCCTTCCTGTCCTATGATATTGCTGTCCCCAACTCCCCAAGGACCACCCTATAGCAAGGGGGTCCCTATTCCCCACCACTGCAGGGACCCCTCAAAAATCTATGGGGTCCCTGTCTGCAACAGGGGACCTTCCCTGCTCCACAATCCCTGTTCCCAGCTCCCCAGGGACCCCCACCCTATAGCGGGAGGTCTCTCTCCCCCGGCACTCCAGGCATCCCCCCAAAACTCTACAGTGTGCCTGTGTGCAACAGCAGGAAACCCTCCTGCCCTACGGGGTCCTTTAAACTCTCCAGGACCCTCCACCCTACAGCGGGTGCTCTCTGTCTCCCAGCACTCCAGGCATCCTCCCAGAACTCTACGGGGTGCCTGTGTGCAACAGGGGACCCTCCCTGCCCTATGAGGTCGCTGTCCCCAACTCCTCAGGGACCCCCACCCTATAGTGGGGCGGGGTCCCTGTCCCCCAGCACCGCAGGGACACCCCCAAAAAACCTATCAGGTCCCTGCCCTACGGGGCCCCTGCCCACAACTCTCCAGGGACCCGCCACCTTACAGTGAAGGGTCTCTGTCCCCCAGCACTCCAGGCATCCTCCCGAAACTCTATGGGGTCCCTGTCTGCAGCAGGGAACCTTCCCTGTCCCCAGCTCCCCAGGGACCCTCCACGATGTAGTGGGGGGGTCTCTGTGCCCCAGCACTCCAGATATCCCTCCAAAACCCTGCGGGGTCCCAACAGGGGACCCTCCCCGCCCTATGAGGTCGCTGTCCCCAACTCCCCAGGGACCCCCACCCTACCCGGGGGTCTGTGCTCCCTCGTTCCCCCAGTACCGCCGTTCCCCGTCCCCTTTCCCCATCTCCGCCCCTATGCCCCGCGCCGTCCCCGTGCCCTGTGCCGTACCGGTTCCCCGTGCCCCGTGCCATACCCGTCCCCGCTCCGCACCCGGGGCCGTCCCCGCTCCCGCCGGTGCCGGATGTTCCCGCCCCGTCCGGCGCCGCGGGCGCTGTGAGGCGGCTCCATGGCGGAGGCGGGGCGCGGGCTCGGCAGGTTCGGCCCGGCGGGCCCCGGGCCCGGCCTGCCCTGCCCTTGGCCCGCGGCCCCGCTGCGCCGCCCGCCCTCCCGCTTCGCCGGGCTCGCCTGCCCTCAGCTGCACGGCCGGGGCCCGGCCCGCGGGCTCGGCCCCTTCCCCGCGCCCCCCGCGCCGCCGGCGCTCGGGGCCGAGGCGGAGGACGAGGAAAGAGGTGGGTCCCGGAGCCCCCCGCGGAGCACGGACAGATCGCCCCCGCCCGGGGCTGCAGGGGAGAGGGGTCAAATCACAGGCCTTTTGTTATAAACTAAAACAGCAGAAGTTCCGCCTCGGCGAGGGGAAGAACTTCTTTCCGCGGAGGGTGGGACAGGCCGCCCCAGGGAGCTCGTGGATTCTCTCTGGAGACATTCCAGACCCACCCGTGTCACCTGCTCCAGGTGACCCTGCCTGGGCAGGGGGCGTTGGACTGGGTGGTCTCTACGGGCCCTGACAGAAAATGGAGCTGCACAGAGTTCGATTTTCAGGACTTGTCCACTGATCCTTTTCGGTGTTCCCCTTTTATTCATGTTCTCTCGTAAACAGCACCTGGTGTTTTTCTTTAGTTAACCAGAATTCCCAGGATCGTCCTAAACCAGTGCCTCAGTCCCGCACATTCAGCTCACATCATGTGGTGGCTGTGTTCAGGCACGAGAGAAAAACACACGCGTATCATGCAGACCGATGAAAGTGGTTTTCCACTTTGAGAAACACAACATTCTCTCTTTTGAACCACTTACCCAAGGTCGATCCTCCCTTTCAACTCCAATTAGCTAAATGCAGGTGCAGAGTGGCTCTGCTTGCTCCCACAATCTCCAGAGGTCCCTCGCAGCCCTAACGATTCTGCCATTCCACTTGTGTTATTCCACTTGCTGCCTCTCCCCAGTGCCGCTGGCGGAGATCTCGCTGATGAACAAGCTGATCCACACGTCCCTGGTGGAGTCCGACCAGCACGTGGAGATCCTGCAGCGGGACCCCAGCTCCCCGCTCTTCTCCGTCAAGACCTTCGAGGAGCTGCCCCTGTGAGTAGCCACAGCCCCTGGCCTTGCTGAATGCCATCGCCACTGGCCGCCCTCACACGGGCCCTTGGGATGCTTTATTTCCACAGGAAGAGGGAGCTCTTGCGGGGAGTTTACATGATGGGCTTCAACAGACCATCCAAAATCCAGGAGCAGGCTCTGCCACTCATGCTGGCATACCCGTGAGTAGGAAAGAGAACCCCGGCTCCGTGTGGCATCCCAGTGCTCTGACCCCTGTGCTCCACTAAGCTGCTTTTGCCTTGCAGGCCCCAAAATCTGATTGCCCAGAGCCAGTCAGGGACAGGGAAAACAGCAGCTTTTGTCTTGGCCATGCTGAGCAGAGCCAATGCCAACGAGAAATACCCGCAGGTAACGCAGGACAGGGAGAGCTGATGCAGGAGGGGTTGGCCCAAGTGCCTGGAACACTGCCGAGGCCAGAGCTCCGGGCTTTGTCCCTGTCCATGTGGCTTCATCCACTGGAGGGGGATGACAAACCCCCAGGGGCTGTCACAGTGGCAGGTAGGACTGAAGGCACAATGCCTGCCCCAGGGAGGCACTTTGACTTGCCAAAGCGGATCAACCCAGGCTTCATTTGCCCTGGAATTTAAATTTTGAGGAGCAGCTGTAGACACTGCTGGTTTTCTGGTGGCTCAAAGGCCCCCAGTCCCCTTTCTGAGTGCAGAATCAGCTTTGCCTGCTGGTTCCTGCCATGTAACATCTCCTCTCACATGCGTGGGGTGACTGAACCAGGGCGCAGGAACGAGCTGTGCCATGCTTCCAGAGGGGAATTTCCTCCTCAAAAACAGCAACAGTGGCTTCTTTCTGCCCCCATGGCTGGAGCTGAGAACACAGGCCAGCTTCCAGACCTCCAGCCATGCCTGGCTGCCCGATCACCTGTGCCTCAGTGCTGTGCAATGCTGCTGTACTCCTCTTGCTGTCCCTGCCCTCGTTGCCAGCCCAGCGTGTCCCATCCCGGGCCTGACAGCTCCCTCCTCTCCTCTCCTCTCCTCTCCCACCAGTGCCTCTGCCTGGCTCCCACCTACGAGCTGGCCCTGCAGATTGGGCAGGTGGTCCGGGCCATTGGGAAGTTTTGCACTGACATCAAGGTGAACTACGCTGTCCGGGGAAACCGAAGTGAGTCCAGCCCAGCACAGCTACTGGGACTGCCCCAGGAGTGGGAAGGGAGCATGGGGATCCCCTCTTAGAGCCTGGAGCTACCAGGGACCAGCCAGATCTCCATGAAGGCCAATAAAGCGGTGTCTGTGTCCCCCTCGCCTGCTGAGGAGGCTTTTCCACCATCTCTGGCTGCTCTAGACTCCCCCTCCCACATAGGGCTGGTTCCCACCCCAAAGGCTGCAGGGAAGTGTCGTGATGACCCCTGGAAGGCATCACTGAGCAGCCAGAGTCTGACTGAGCCGAGGGGAGCAGCAGAGAGCTCCGTGCCTGGAGGCAGCCAGGTGCGTTTTTCCCTCTCGCAGTTCCAAAGGGCACGGTGCTAGAGGAGCAGATCATCATCGGGACGCCGGGCACCACCCTGGACTGGTGCTTCAAGCACCGCATCCTGGACCTGACGAAGATCTCCTTGTTCGTGCTGGATGAGGCCGACATCATGATCGACACGCAGGGCCTCTCCTGCCAGAGCATCCGCATCCACAGGTGAGTATCCCTGATGGCTCACATCCCGCTTCCCTGCTTTCAGACATGGTGATGAGGGGGCTTGTAGAGGGGTCCAACTTCCCCTAAAACCACATCTGGTGGACACATGGCAAAACTCTTACCTTCCTTACCTTTCCTTTGAGCTGTTGCAGCTTAGAGAATCGTGGAATGGCCTGGGTTGGAAGGAACCTTAAAGCCCATCTCATTCCAATCCCCCTGCCAGGGGCACAATGTCTTCCACTTTCAAGTCCCATCCAAGCTGGCCTTGGACACTTCCAGGGATAGAGCAGCCATAGCTTCTCTGGGCAACCTGTTCCAATGCCTCACCACCCTCACAGCAAAGAACTTCCTCCTCAAATCCAATCTAAACCTCTTCACTTTCAGTGTGAAGCCATTCTCCCTTGTCCTGTCACTCCGGGCTCTTGTAAAAAGTCCTTCTCCATCTTTTTCATATGCCCCCTTGGCTTCCCTTTCCATCGCAGGCCACACAAAATCAGCTTAGAGTTTATGTCCTCCTGGACAGAAGCCACTCACTGGGACTGAGGAGGCCTCTCTCCTGTCACAGGGCTCTTCCCAAGAACTGCCAAGTGCTGCTGTTCTCGGCCACCTTCAAGGAACCCGTGCGGGCCTTTGCCGAGCGGATCATCCCTGACCCCATCGTGATCAAGCTGCGCGAGGAGGAGCTCACGTTGAGCAACATCAGGCAGTACTTCATGGTGTGCCAGAACTCAGAAGAGCAGTACAAGGCCCTCTGCAACCTCTACGGCAGCTTCACCATCGGCCAGGTCATGATCTTCTGCCAGGTAATGCCCCTGCCCAGGAGAGCCCCGTGCTGGCCCTTGGGGATGGCAGGAATGGGTCCTTCTATGGTGTGGAGATGGGGGGACAAGATCCCCAAAACAAGACCCCAGGGGGGTGTTAAAATTCACTGGGAGCTCCCTCAAAAGGAGCAGGGGATTTGGGAGGGGGGGCAGTTCTGGGCCTCAGCCTCTCCCCGCGTGCCCAGACCCGGAGGCTCGCGGACTGGCTGTCGGAGAAGATGAGCCGGGACGGGCACCAAGTGGCCACGCTGACGGCAGAGCTGACGGTGGTCCAGCGGGCCAGCGTCATCCAGCGCTTCCGTGAGGGCAAGGAGAAGGTCCTCATCGCCACCAATGTCTGTGCCAGAGGTATCCTGGGAAACCCAGCATCCCTCGAAAACACACCAGGCCTGCGGTTCTTCCGCCTGGATGCCGTGGGACGAGGCGATCCCTTTCCACAGCCCCTTTCCCTTTCTTCCAGGGATCGATGTGCAGCAGGTCACCACCGTGGTGAACTTCGGCCTCCCCAGGGATTTGGATGGAGAGCCGGATTTTGAGACCTACCTGCACCGGATTGGGAGGGCGGGACGCTTCGGGCACCGCGGCATCGCCTTCAGCATGGTGGAGAACGAGACCGTGGAGCTCGTGCACAAGATAGAGGAGCATTTCCGTGAGTATCCATGTGGATCCACTGCTCTGGGAGGCTGGGCTGGGACTGTGATCCTCCCTCTCGAACCTCGCGGGGCTGCTCCTCTGCCCAGGGCTCATCCCACTGGGAACAGGTGATAGATGCAGCTTTTAGGGTGATTTTTTGCTCCCCAGCAGCCAAATTTTCCGAGAAACAGCCCCACAGATTGTGTGCAACTCACAGGGGATGTTACTAATACCCAGGATGCCTTAGAACCTCCTATTTTTCCCCTCCTTCAGGCATTTTTTCTGCCTTTCCCTGCAAATCCTTGTCCCAGGGGACCTGGTGCTGCGGCTCAGCTCAGCCCTGGCTGTGGGACAGGAGCTGGCAGCTGTGGAAATCTTTCCTGAATGGAAATAGATTGTCACTTGTCAACATCAAGAGGATTTTCATGGGATTTGCCAGATGCCGTGACTGTACCAATTGCTTTTTGAATCCCGGTGCCTGACGTCCCTGTGATTTTTAGGGGAAAAAAAGAGTTATGGAAACCTTTTGGAGGGCAGAAAGTGCTGTTCCTTCCTCAGCTCCATCCTTGGAGCTGCTCAACCCTCTTGGTTCCTTTAAATTTCCACTTCAAAC